GGCAAAATCACTTGAATTATCTCAGGATCCGGACGGTTTCCATACAAGAGTTTGAAGACGTGAATTTTTCTTAAAATAAAGCTTGAGAGGATTTTCGATTCTTTGTTGATATATACTGAAAAGTTCCGTTTCTAATTTCGCACGATCCCTTACAACAGGGAAGGCTTTTAGTAGGGCAGTCTTGAAATTTTCGTAAGTATAGGTGGGACTTCCTGCTTGACCCAAGAGACTTCTGCCTATACATTTGAACCAGTTAAGCGCTTGGCCCCTCAAAGCGCTGGTAGCTAAGGTAACTTTTTGAAACTCGTGCACGGGGTAGAGCATGAAGTGGTCATCCAATTTTTCCCAAAAAACTGGTTACCGGTGAGTTTCCATTAAATGTTGCTTCTGGTTTCATCGAAGCGCGCATGGTCTGGACGATGTAACCAAATCCTTCCAGGGCGGCAGCTGGCATTTCTGGATTCTGAGCCGCTTCTGCAGGCAGCACAGGTTCTTCTTGAAACTCGGCCATGGTTATTCTTCTTCGTTGGGCGCCACTATCAGGTTCAATGTTCCTTCTTTACCTTCTTCGGGAACATGCAAGGACCTGACTCGGAACAGAGAGCTTACTAAAGCTATGTTCAATAACTGTGGGAAGTAGACAGGATACACAAGAAGGGTATACAAAACCCTTTATTTTTCTCTATTTACAATAACTTCCGTACTTCGGAATACAAAGACCCACTACTTGGGGTCTAAACGTAAAATATAAAAATAAAACTAAAACTCTTAACTTTAAATAATAAACGTGGAAGATTGGCCTTATATTAACAGGAAGCCGTATGTAGTACAGAGAACTGTGAACACTACAATACGTTTAAAATTATCAAGAGGATTAAAACCTCTGGCCTGGAAGGCAACCAGCAACTGAGTAAAACTTCTAAGGTAAGCGGCCTGCTTCGACTAACTGCTTCCTCTCTCTCGCTTGGCAAAAAGCCACAACTTAAAGTACTTGGCGTTCGCCAGACAAACTTTGCATAAATACCTTAACGCTTATAATTCTGGCCGGAAGTAGAAAATAAGAAGTGATAGTAAAGATTTAAAATAAAATAAACGTTAGTAAAACTTAGATCCTTACAGAGTGATAAAAACCATTTAAAACTACGCAAAACCAATATGTCAGTAAATTAAAAAAGCCACAAGAGTGTCAGTTTTAAATTGTTTAAAATATGGAAAGGTTCTGCTATTCAACTGAATTACCCAGGGCAGGCGGAGAGGACGCCCCTTTGCTTACTGCCCCACAGGGTTTCCCCCTTCTACTTGCTTAATTGCTTAAAGTAGAGTGCAATGAAGGAAACCACTGGCGGTACATTTCTTAAGAGCCACCGCTAAATAAATAAAGATGATTTAAATAATAAAATGTTAATTCACATGTTAAAGATCTCTTTGTACACAACATTTCTTGTGTAGACCTTTCCATCATTTTTAAGCTCGCCTTGCGGAGGACCATCAATTCCTTTTAATTTTACGTCCGTTCTTTCACAAACTCTTGAACAGGCAACATAAAGTTGACAGTGTCCAAAAGCAGGATCAGGTAAAAAAATGCCAGCACGCTTAAGCGTTTGGCCCTGAGACTTATTGATGGTCATAGCAAAGGCAAATTTTACAGGAAATTGTCTACGTCTCAAATGAAATGGCAACTCTGTGCCGTGGTAACTTCACCCCATTGGCTAGTACAGTTACGCAATCAACCAATAAACTATCGGCGACAAACAGACACTTAAGCCGCATATAATAAAGATATTTATTTATTTCATTTTATTTTTTTTTCATCGTTGCTGGTTGCATATTTCCGAATTCTATTATATATAGATGTTAAATTTATTTATTAAATGTTAAATGCACCTGCTCTTGAATTTTTAATTTTTAAGGCTTAGCTTTCTCATAATATTCATCACGCGCTGCACTGCACGGGGAATAAAACAATTTACAGTTATGCAAGCAACCAATAAACTATCGGAGACAAACACGTAAGCCGCATATATATAAGATTTGAGACGTTAATAAATATTTTTTAAAAGAAAATTGTTTGTAATATAAAAAGTGTATTCTGATAAATTAGGAGCACTTTCTGAGCTTTGAATACTTTCCTACGCCACAGAATTACAACAGGATATATACAAAATTATTAAGTATTTTCTACAAAATTTTCAATTTCTACGAAAGTTTATTGAGCCCTACCACACGCCGGCCACTTAAATCTTAAGAACAACCTTTTTTAATTCAAGCTAGTGTAAAACATGTTGTTAAATTTAACAGCCGTTAGCTGAATTCAATAGTCAGATTTAACGACTGGGATGTCAAGAATACAAAATAGAGCACTCGTGATAAATTTCACTTCTTGCTTTTGTAAAAGTGCTGAGAATAGTCTTTATTTTCAGTATACTATCGTAATTTTAATTTCGGTTCCCGTCATACCATTTAAAAATTTCTATCAGTAGGCAGACTTGTTTTTAGTCCACATGCTAAATATACCATCAACCAAGAATGAGAATAGCATTCATTCATTTCAACGTTAGGCATGTGCTTAACGGAGTGCTTTTCACAGGAATGGCTTTATTGAGGACTTTCTATGGGACTCCTATTTACATTACTTACGAGGGAAAACCATGCAAATTCCCATACCGTCAGCCCGTTCGAAGGGATTTGAATATAAATCTAAGAACCAGTGTTCAGCTGTTTATTGCTCTGTCAGTAGTGAAATTTGGCAAGTATTGCCTATGCACAAATATTGCACTGCATGCAGCACATTGGTGATTCTTAATACATAGGTTATTGACCTCGAACAGTTTTGAGGGGTACGATTGTGCTTCTTTGATTTAAGTTCATTTAAGAACTGTTAAAAATTTACAACAGTTTTGAGGGGTACGATTGTGCTCCTTTGATTTAACTTTCATTTAAGAACTGTTAAAAATTTACAACATTGCTCCCAACCGGTGATCTAAGACTTGGCCATCGGTGATCATCATTCCATAATTCACTAGAGACCAATTACCCTGTTAGGAACAAATGCTCTCCGATGTAAATTTATTTAAAAAACTATGTAAATTTATTGCATTATATCATAAATTTGACTTTTTCGTTGACCTACAAAGACCGTGAAAGTCAGCAAAGACTAACTTCTTTGAAGGGTACCATGTATATTTCGGTTTAAATTTATTTTTAAAACTTATCCCACATTGTTCTTTGATAAAAATCTGCTAGTAAATTTATCGCATTGCCTCACTCTGATAACTCATTGATTAATCTTCAGTGACCGTCAGGTTACAGAACCCAGTGACAAAATGAAGATAGCTAATGTCTGTTAAACGCGTAAATCATAGATGACTAGCTATCTTTACACGCCTTGCTACCTTTCGGTTTACATTTATTTTAAATACTAAAACCTACAGATTGATTGTTAATGACCATAAATGAGTTTGTATGTTAGCTGTGCCTAATATTGTTGATGGCTGCGCTATCAATGGGTTTAATTTTATTTTAATATTTCATTTAAATTTACCGCACTGCGCTACATCGGTGATCACCGATAACTAATGGTCTTGACAGTCACCATTGATTTAATTACGTTTTAACAATCTAGTTTATGATGTAGTTTTAAACTGTAATTTTTAATTTGCAATAGGTACAATAGATAAAATTATCCATTCTTTGTATTTTATAGCTCTTTGTTAGAGCAGCCATCGCAGAAGCCTTTGGCAATGTTTGAAATTTTCTCATTACAGAATAATACCAATGATATTTGTTGAACCAAAAATAAGTGTTAACAATATTTATTGAACCATAAATCAATTTGTAAGTTAGCTGTGTCTAATACTTTTGACGGGCTGCGGTAAGGGTTAATTTTATTTTAAAATTTCATTTAACTTTACTGCACTGCGCTAGATCGGTGATTACCGATGACTAATGGTCTTGACAGTCACCTTCGATTTAATTAAGTTTTAACAATCTAGCTAATGATGTAATTTTAAACTATAATTTCTAATTTGTAATAGGTAAAATAGATAAAATTATGTATTTTCTATTTTATACTTCTTTGTTAAAGCAGCCACCCCAGAAACCTTCTGCGATTTTTGAAATTTTTTCATTACAGAATCTCATTATAATAATATCTGTTGAACCAAAAATCAGTTTTTGAACCAGAAATCAGTTTGCTGAACCATAAATCAGCATTACCAATATTTGTTGAACGATAAATCAGTTTGTAAGTTAGCTGTTGATGGGCTGTGGTATCAATAGGTTTAATTTTATTTTAAAATTTCACTTAAATTTACTATAGTACGCTACATCGGTGATCACCGATGACTAATGTTCTTGATAGTAACCTTCGATTTAATTGTGTTTTAACAATCTAGAGAATGATGTAATTTTAAACTGTAATTTTAAATTTGTAATAGGTCTAATAGATAAAATTATCTGTTCTTCGCATTTTACACTTTTTTGTTAAAGCAACCACCAGAAAAGCCTTTGGCGAAGTTTGAAATTTTCTCATTATAGAATAATAATAATATTTTTTGAACGTACTCCGCCTGAATCGGCACAGCATCATTGCAGAAAATGTATTAAAATTCGGCAGTTTTAGCGATTGAGGTAGGTTGCCGCTTTAACAAGGAATAACCGATAAAGTATCATTTTTATGAATACGTGCGGTATTATTTTTTTGCTCAGTTTAAAATATTTCTAATGCTATATATTATGCACGTAACACAGAATTATTTAGTTTTATTGAAAACATTCTTAAAAATAATTAGCATTCATATTATTAAAATTCAAAATTAGTAGCGCATTTATTATGAAATTAATTTCACGTGGGAATTAAACATTGCGTTTATGTACATTACCACGTTCAGTAGTTCACTAAATTTTGAAGTTAATTCAGAGAAAACAATAGCTTGGATGATCTCATAGACCTATTGAAGACTGGAACTGACACAATAGCTGGGACTTACTCTGCAATAAATATGGAACTGTCTGAAGACATTAACAATCTTTCTGTAACAAAAAATGAAGAGAATGTTCAAGAGAGACAAGAGCACCAATACAGCACACTGAATTCAGAGCGCCTCGAAAGTTCGTTAGATGATCATGATAAACTACCTTGTGGTGAATCAGGCAAGTGGAAATATATTCGTATGTATCAAGAAAGAGCTCGCCGCAGGGAAGCAAGAGCACGAAATCGAAGAAGACGAGAAAGGGAAGAGCGATCTGGTCGTAAATCTGGAAGGAGAAGCAAGAGAAAGAAATCTTCAAAGAAACGAAGGATATCCAGAAAACGAAGATCCTCAAAGAAAGGAACACAGCGCAAAAGTTCTACTGGTCGAAAAAGAAGAAGGAAAAGTTCTGCTACCAAGGGCAAGAATAAGGCAACTAGGCGACGTAGGTCCAAAAGTAAAGCGAGGGCTTAGGTTTCTATAACAGTTTTAATCCAGCAGAAGACAAACTATCCATCACGTATACATACCTATTGAAGACTAGAACTACATAACAGTTTCATAGTATGTGATCCCGCTGGTGAAGAAGCTACACGCCTATCTTCTAAATTTTACCTTGAAAATGCTTATTAAAAGTATTTAAAACTCTTAACGTTTCTTCTATTTTTTTTCTTCCTCCATTGCTTACAAAATTTCAACCAAAAAACAAAGAAGAAAAAAAAAATGTTACAAATTATTTTATGCTGATTTTTAATATTTTAATATTTTCATTACTATTTCAACATTAACACATGATTTTATTAGAACAGTATTTCCTTGAACACTATATTTGTGAATAAATCCCATTCTTTGGCTTGAAAGTTATGAAAATATAGAATGCACAAACATTTTTAGGATAACAAATTGAAAAAGTGGGGAACTAAAAGTTATACATTCGTCTCAATTAATATATATAGACAGTTTTAAAAGCTATCATTGTGTTACCTATACTTCCTTGACTGAGGATAATAGTACCTTAGCGAACACGCATATTTATTACGAGTAAATGTGAGTTTAATACAATCACCAGAAGCATACTAATTTAGAATTTGAAGTTAAGTGAAAGTCAATTTTTGATTGATGCTAACTCTGTGTAAGGCCAGGTTATATGTACAGATGATTCAGTAATATATATGGCTCAAATGTAAAGGGTGGTAGAGGGGGTCGTAGTAAGACTTTTGCAATGTCTTTTGCAATGTCTTTTGCAATGTGTGTGCAGAAATAACGCGGTTAGATGGTACAAGATGGTGCTGAACAGTAAAGAACAGTGCTGAACAGTAGTAGGTAAACCATACTACTGGAGTAAATCGTCATTTTCTCTGCAAATTTCGAGCGGTAAGCATTGTTACTCAAACGTGGAACTCATCGACTTGCGTTTTATCTACGGGGCTTCGGCTAAAATAGAGCAGTTACTTAAAAAATGTTGCAGAGAATGTGCCTTCTTTAAGCTGCTGCCTCATTTCCATCTGCAGAACCTATAGCTAAAAGGTTTTTTTTTTTTTTTTTTTTTTTTTTTTTTTTTTTTTGTGAGTTTCGCGTTCATATATACCCTTCGAAACTCGCACGTGAAATGACGATTTACGCAAATGGAATGCTTTTATCAACCGCTCAGCAGCGCACTATCTCACCTGAACGCGTTATTCTTGCATACATATTCATTTACAAAATCATAATATTTCAGTCCCCTCCAACTGCCCTTATATTTTTGACAGATATTTTTGAATTACCCATCATGTATTGCAAATATATATATGCAAATTCTAGGGCAAGAAATTAACGCCATTCTTTTTCAACATGCATATTAATTTTCACACAGGAGTACGGAGTCAGAAACTGGTGGATTATTTCTTTGGCGATAGTTAAGATTGCGACAACCACTGAAATACAGCTTCAATATCGGAAAAGGAAATTTATTGACAGTAATATACAACGGACAATCACTAATTATAAGCCTGACCTAGATTTCTATAGAAAGAAGTATATAAGAAAGAATGGCACTTATTATGCATTTTTGCATAGAATTTTACTGATACTCTCTCATTAAAACGTAACATCACATAAACTTTTGGTGATATTTAAAAGTTGGCCAACCAGCCGCCAAGCGGTAACGTCCCTGAATACTGGTAGTTTGGTCCGAGGTTCGAATCCCGCGAACGATCGAATCCGCTGGCTCTTTTATGGTTTTCCCCATATGTAACGCGTTAATATGAGCCAGTTTCCTTTAGCAAGCTCCTCCACGAAGGCATCCTTCTCTTCCGCGTAGTGTCTTAGGCGGAACACGTATATAATAATAATAATATTTAAAAGCTGCACGTCACAAATTTAGGAGTTATATTTGTCGATTTTGGCAATAAATCGTAATGGCCTCTTTAATTAAGAATAAGAAAACACCATTTTTTCGGAGAAAAACGGTATTAATCAAAGACTGAATTTTAGCAAATTTAAGTAAATTAAATTTACCTATATGAAGAATTATGGCATTTCCATGAGCATGTTCTCGTGGTGGGAGAGCATTTTCTGTTAGGACTGGGAAGATCGAATGGTTATTAGAAATGATCTTTTGTATTTCCTATTCCAAGTGTCTTTACATAATAATTAGTGTATTGAGTGCTTAATGTGTAACATTATTATGTTTTAATAAATTTTTAAGATGAGTTATTTTCATAATATTTTAGTGATTAAAATTTTAGCTAAATCGGCATAATCCACAAAGTTGGAAAAACACAGGTTTTTAAAATATTAATTAGTATTTGGTAATGAAAAACATATAACACAAACACAAAACTCCGGACAGTATGACAAGAACAGTGAAATAATTGAAGAAGATGGTACATAAATTCATAACAGCATAAAAGAAGTAACGACATTATTTAAAGTAGTATGATTAATAGTGACATTATGATAAATGGATATATGTCGCCAAATAAACAAAATGAATTATAGAAATAGATATTCTATTGCACTTTGCGCATTTTTTGTAACTTCAAGTTCTTCCATATTTTTGGAAAAATATTCGAACTTAGAAATAATTAACTTAGCTCAGGAAAAAAAAAATGTTTTACAGTATTTTGCATTTGCCTATTGGCATTTTGAAATCGGTCGTTTTTAAACTAGTTTGATTCATTTCTCGATTTAAAAATTTTATTATATAAAACTTATTCTTAAACAAATGCAGCTATTATGTTTTAAGTTTTTTAAAATCTCGAAGAAAGTGTTATTCCCTCCCCCTCTCCTCGAAAAGTCGCGGCGTAGCAAAATAAAAAAAAAATCCCACTTCATTTGTTGAACTAGCTATAGTAATACGCTCCATTATTTATCATTATTATTTTTGAACAGTTAGTTTTAAGTATACAGTTTAATATTCTGTATCTAGAAATTCTGAGCATTAATTCTTAAACTACTAAGCTATCAAAATTATTTAGCTCAAAACTGATTCTGAGAGTTAAACTAGAATTTTAATACAAAGATTACAATTTAAATCCTTTTATAATTATAACTTTTTTCCTTTGAGACGTTTTATGACAAATCTTTTTAGGGGTGTAAGACTATAATCTGAGGTTTTCCAGGTGGAAATTTTTTTATTCATATATTTATTTTACTTATAAATCAATTCTTGAAGACAAAATAGATATTAATGTTAATTTTCCTCTAAATTTATGAGTTTAAATTGCGTTCAACTGAATGCTTGATTTATTTTCATTTATATATAAATGTAGAATATTCTGCTATAATACAAAAATGAATGAAAGAAACACATTTTCGTGGTCGTGGTTTCGTAGTAGAAAATGTGTTCTTACGAGATCTATAAAACAGGCTTATTGATATGAAGATGATATTTTCTTTCTTTCTCAGCGGAAGAGGGGAGATGTTATAATGAAACTATCGCCGTAATGAAAATCTTCATCTGTGATGCTATCAGTACAATAAATAAACCATGTCTAATGTAGTAATATTATTGCACTGTAATGAAGGAGGAATCCTGTTTTGAATCTTGTAACCTATCACGAAGAATTATTTAGTAAGCAGATTTTAAATTTGTTTCCCATTACACGGTTTTTTACTTCCTTGTACGAAGTAAAAAGGAAGTATTGTAATCGCGAAAAGCTTCAGGCAACATATTTCAACGAAAAATATCCACTTTGACCGCTTTCGAATGCAATTTAACGATGTTTTTGCGTGATATCTATACGTAAGGACAGAATAAAAGACTCTTTTCCTCCAAAAAAACTAAAAAACTGCTTTAAAATGAATTTTGAAGAGAATTTTTCGTGGCGTCTGTACGAACGTATGTACGTAGGTGCGTGCGTACGTAGGTATCTCGCATAACTCAAAAACGAGTAGCCTCAGAACGTTGAAATTTTGTATATAAGGACTACTATAACATGCAGATGTGGACCTCGTATTTTGGTTTCAATCGGCCGCGCCAAACGTATATAAATATATTTATAAATATACCCACTCTGTTACCCGGCTCAGTGATCTCAGTTTCTTTACTCTTATATGTTTGTAAATTGTACATTTTTTGCTTTAAAAATGATTAAATTATGTTGTTTTTATCTTCCGGTTAAAGTTTTTATGCCTTTCGTAATTCTGGAAGCAATAGTTGTACAATTATCAACAATTTAAAAGCTGTTAAAAGTGCGGTTAAGTTTTAAATAACATGGTGGACATATTTGTTTACATTTGAAACAGCAGAATTGTAGATCTGTTGCCAATCTAGAGAGACTAAGCTTCGCAACACAAAAATAACGCCTTCATTTATTATTGCGAATTAGTAAATCATGCTTAATCCTTTCTGGAATTTTTTCGAGGAAATAAGTGTTTAAGATTTACTTCGTAATTTTTAATACAGATATTTTGAGTTTTTATGTATTTTTGCCTTGTAGCAAAGTGAAAACTGAATTACTTGAATGAGAAATACTCAATCATCTGTGAAAAACTGTTTCTTTTTTGTTTTGTTTGCTTAATTTCTTTTATACATCGTTCTAGCCTTGTTATAGTATTTGAATAGAACATGTGGCAACGATTAGATAATTCTTTAAATGATATAAATTTTGTGCATTCTGAGTTAGAATATAAACGAAACATAATACTGTTAAGTAAACCTAGCGCCAGTGTCGCTATGGTAAACAAAGTGAATTTTAAAGAATGTATTTATTCTACTGTGGGTTTATGCGCTGTCGGCGAAGTAGGTTTAATTCAATCTAATAAGTTAAATGAAATGCAAGAAAAATGCGTATAATTTAATATTCCGTACAAGGAAGTCATGTGGTGTACACACCAGATTTTTTAATTTGGTATCTCTGTTTTTTTTTTTTTTTGTCATATTTGAAATTAATACTTGACCTTTCCTTGCAAAGCCAATTTTCTTGAAAATTTCACACTTTTATATATTTTCAATAAATACAATATCCTACAGGAATTTTTCAAAACTC